GTCATAACCCCACGGGCGCCTGCGGGCACACCAGATGCCAGCTCATCCTCGAGAACTGGGGCTCAGGGCAGCGGAGAGGACAACTGCGTTGCCAATCCACGACTGCGAGCCGGTCCAGCAGCCAGCACAGCACCAAGACGAGCAGCACCACGCGTTCCCGACGCCGCCGTGGGCAATCCAATGCCTGCAGATTGGATTCTCTTCGAGATCACCACGTCGCTGCGAGCGCTATGCTGCGACTCGCACTAGACGCGAATGCGAGAGCTACGCAGGCAAGATCTGGTGGTGGCACGCCAAAAGAGGAGATGGCATGACCACTGCGCGCAGGCAACATGCCGCAGGCAATGCTCGACCTCCCACCCACAGTGGCCAACGGCGGTCAGGAATGCCGTGAGCTGCAACCACCAGCGCGCCAGACCATTGCCACAATCAGCACTCTGATGAACGCGATTTCGTTTTTACAAGGATCGCATGATACTGCGCCTGGTCTGCTGCGCCTCGAAGTGGCATGACGGCCAGGAGATGGTGGACAGATGCGCTTCAACGTTGCTGGCAGCAGCGGGCACGTCATGGATCCAGCTACTCGGGTCAATGGAGACCGCCCCCGTGGACGGCGAGCACGCTCGCTCCAAGAGGCGACGTCGCGCAATGTTACGACGCGCGCTACGCGCCGCCGAAGAGCAGCTGGAGCGCGAAGGCATCGTGGCCAACTTCGACTCCACGTTGACCCACACCATCCTCGCGGGCAGCAGCCTCGCCCTTGGCCGGCGTTGCGCCATTCGTCTCCTGCAGGCAGCCCTCCATGCTGTCACCGCTCGAAGCAGACGGGGAGGGCGAGGGCGATTGCGCCACCGGGCCCGGGCCTGCCGCAGGCGGCGGGGTGCAACCCGGCCGACTGCAGCGGCGCATCCGTGACATCGCTCTGCAGCGCATGATCGAGGCCACCTCGATCGCTCGCGTCAACGGCGCCCGCCGGACACGCGCCACCGAGACCGCAGAGGGACGCTCCAATGTGGGTGATCAGGTGGAGATCCACCAGCCTCCCAGCACGAAAGACGCGTCAGGCTGGGCAGGTCCTGGCACTGCTCGTGGACCCGGCCAGACGCAAGGTCGCGGCAAAGTGCTGCAAGGCCGAGATGGTCTGCAGATTGCAGGACGCACGGATCGACCTTCATCGGTGCCTTCATCGACGACATGAGCACCGGCATGGCGCGAGCAGGCCCGGCCTGGGATCGCGCGGAGGACTCGCTAGAGCACGTCGCGCCAGGCGCGGGAGCCAGGGCCGTCGGCCACCTCGGGAGGACGAGCAGGGCAAGCGGCTGACCGCACAGGCTCGGCAACGCCCCGATGTCCTCGCTGCACTGCGCCACTTGTCCCGCAGATGTGTCCAGTTGCCAGACGTTTGTTCCGCGCGTCCTGTGCGAGGTCAGAAATTCGTGGGCGACTGGCCAGGCTGCGGCCGCAGTCTGGTCATCTGGTGGTTCCCTCGAAGCCCACGCGGCGTCCGCCAGCTTCATTTGGGCGGCGTCAAGTCTGATGCCCGCGGCCTCGCCGGCGAGCAGCGGGAGGGCGCTCGCATCATCCAGTTTGTCTTGGGTGGCGAACGGCTGCTCGCAGCAGACGCCGGGCGGGATCAAGACGGGACGTTCGATGACTGTGCCATTGACGTCCCCGAGGGCGCCGCCACCGTCGCCGAGGGCGGTTCTCCGCTAGCCCTGTCGGCGATGCCTAACGAGGCTGACAGCGACTTCTCCAGCCACGTTCAGCAGGTGACGCTGGCAGCTTAGATGGAGGCCGAGGGCGCTAATGATCTGACTCAGGCGGCGCAGGGGCTGGAGGGCCTCGACAGTCAGCAGATGGCCCGCGCTGACGTCGAGCACGCGGCCGCCAGCATAGGCCGCAGACCGCGCGAGCGGCCCCGGCATCTGGAAGTGCCACTACTACCTGCGCGGCGCCACTCTCGACGACTACGCCAAGCTCGAGGAGGAGGATCCAGAAGGACAACACGTGGAGTGATACTTGGACCAGGAGAGCGCGAAGCATTTCTGAGCTGCCCCGAGGGCAACTATGGCGCCGCCGGGCACGCCGCAGCCGAGCGCAGGGTCTACGCCGCCGTCAAGACCGCGGTAATCAAGCGCGACGCCGGCTTCCAAACCAGAGAGGAGGTGTCGAGGCTGACCAAGGAGATGACGCCGCCATCCTCGAGGAGCTCGCCATCTGGGCCAAGCGCAAGTGTTTGGAGCGTCGTCCTCTCAAGGGTGCTCGGATTGTCGCGGGCCTCAGACGCGCCTTTCAGTGGGGGCGCCGGAAGGGATCGGACGGCAGGGCCGCCGGGGCCACTCGACGCCGCGTGGCGCTGATGGGGCTTCCGCAACATGAACGCCAGAGTCCTGAAGACGTTCGCCAGAACGGCGCAGCGGGCGCCCCAGTGCATTCCGTCTTCAAGGGCGGCCCGTTGCCCAGAGCGGGCGGGCGTCGCCGCGGACGTGGAGAAGGCGCTCCTACGAGGCTTAACCTGCGCCGAGATGCAGGCGCAGGGCGAAGCATCCAGGGGGGTCGACTTCGCCCTGCCGCCCGGCAGCGCTGCCACCCTCAGACAGGTCCCGGTCGTCGAGTCCTTCGACGAGCGGACCGAGCGCCTGCGCTGCGTCAAACCGGGCACGGGCAACATGGTTGCGCCCATAGTTTTCTCCATGAAGTTCGCCTGCTTCGCGCGCGCGGAGGAGCGCGGCGCCGAGCTGGCGGGGCGGGGCCCAGAGCTCGAGGCCAAGCACGAGGCGTCCGGCAAACGTGGGGCCAGCGCCCCTGAGTTAGCGCCCATGCTGTCCAGGCGCGTTGACGACTTCGAGATAGCAGGACGCTAGGGGCACGTCGACCGTCTAATCGGCCACGTCGAGAGCGTCTCCGGCAAAATGAAGGGGGACTGCGACGACTTCGCCGACTGCGGCGCCCACCAACACGGCAGTCCCGACGGCGGCGCGACCCTCGACCAGGACGAGGACTCGTCTCCCTCCATGGCGCAGCTGCCTAGGCGCATCTCGCGCAAACCCGCGTTGCGGCTGGCATCGCCGCGCTGCAGAGGGCCGACAACTAGCTGCTTATCACGCGCGCCACGCAGCGCAGTGCCGTTGCTGTGGCCATGCGGAAGAATAAGGCGCGCAACGCCTACCCGGCGATGGAGTGCGCGCTCAGATCTGCGCGCGCAGCGACGGTTCCTTCGAGCGCGAGGAGGAGACAGTATGCGGCATCAGAGGTGCCGTATACATGCGTTTTGGCAAGTGTCGCATCACTGGTAAACAGATCTGCCACTTGCTCGACGCTGTGAGCCGCTGACGCAAACTCGTGTGTAGATCGCCATTAGGTTCCGAGGTGCTCGCAGCATGCGGAGCAGCAGGCAGATGGGCTGCCGGCGCACCTTTGCGCTTCACGAGATGGCACGAGGACCCGCCTCAGCAGACGAGATCAGGACGCTGAGGGGGGAGGGAGGCTACACAATGCCGGCCGAGCTGGCCGAAGATGGCACGTCCGTCTCACGCGCGCCCGCCATCAGAGAACAGCGTGGCAGGTCACCCGCGGTGGCTAGCGGACCAGCTTCACACCGGACAGCTATCAGACATGCTGTGGTGCGACATTGTGACATGCGAGCGAACCCCGCGACGAAGTGGAGAATCGGCAGAGGGCTCATCGCCGACGCTGTGGAGGGCAAGCTTGCGTTGCCCATCCCGCATTGAGGCTGAGCGAGGAGCGCAACAAGAAGACCTTTCAAGCTTCAGCTACAGCGGCTTCACCATGGACAAGAGCGACGGGTGAACATATTGCGGGCGCAGGCGAACTATGTTCGCGAAGCGAAGTAGCGAGCCACTCCGCATAAGGCGAACTGCGTCCGCAAAGTGCGAGAATGTGAGCCACATTGATGAGAGGTTGCTCTCTTGAGGTGTGTTCGAGAAGCAGCAGGGAAGTTGAAAGGCCGTTTGCACTGTCCACCGTCTGCTACTACTGTTGGAGGGGTTGGCCGACTTGTCTTGTTTAGTCTCATGATCAATCATGGGAGTAACTCCGCCCTGCAACAGGTGCCGCAAACAAAAATATCGCGGTTGGCGTCGCGGGGGGGCCAACATGCCCTGGGGTCGAGCGAAGTCCATCAATTACGGGGCCTACCGAAGCCGGTTGGTCTGCCCTTTTCTTTGGGCATTTTGTTATGAAGAATTTGGTATGTTACAATCTCTCTCACCCTGTAATTATTTAGTTAATCCAGGGTGTCCCGTTGGTGGTTTGGCCAGAGAGGCACAACGGACCCGCTCGAGCACCAGACTCAGATGTTATGCTATTGGGTGGCAGGATTGTCAGCACGCTTGTAGCGTAGCAGGGGACAGGGCTGGGCCATGGGCGTTTGGCTCAAACCTGGCCAAGTTGGGCGCCCGCTTTAGATCGCTTCAAAGGTACCTCATCTGTACCATGCGTTTTACTACAAGCATACGCTTTCTCATCCCGCTTTACATTGTTAGTCATTCTTCTTTGGATAGTGTTGCGCTGTCAGCCCGCTGGGTGCCGCCAGCCGTCTAACAAGTTCCTGCATTCGATCAGGTTCGAAATCCAAGTTCTCCACCATGGCCCGAGGCTGCAACACATGGCGCAAGGACAGGGGCACGCTTGACCGACAAACAGAGAACTATGTCCCGAACGAACTTTCGAGGACGGGCCACCCCCTTTAGAAGTTCGGGTATCTACTCGCTCCCTAGCCCCCCACCATTCCCATCCCACTCCTCCCTTCTAATTTGTTGTTTTTTTCAATCCGCGGCCCCAGAAAACACGACCCCTTCCCAGGGGAGAGCTTTCCGCTCCGAATCCGTTGTTTATGCCCACTGGCCCAGAAACAGTGCCGACGTCTACAAAAAAAAACCGGTCGAGCAAAATCAGATCGTCCGAGATGTGGGTTCCTCCCCCTCCTCCCCCTCCTCCTCTGCCCCCCCCTTCCCCTCCCCTCCCCCCCCGCCCCCCAGGGGCAAGGCGAGCTGGTCGCCCAGCTGCGCTCGCAGCAGGCGTGGGCCTTGGAGACGTTGGTCCGCTGCGAGGCGCCGCGGGCGCGGGGCCCTTGGGCCATTAACATAATGGTGGCTTCTGGAGGCGACACTGGTCAGGATTTGGCCTGGTACGGTTTCGGCTTGCGCACAGACAGCTGAAACATGCTGGGAAGCCAGGGCCACGCGCGTGCCCGTGCCCACGCGGGCACGGGCACGCGCGGCTCGCCGCGTGTGCCGGTATCAACGCTCCGCTCGTTTTTGGTTCCCCTCTTTTTTTGGGGGGGGTGTTTGGCATCGATCTGCGCGCAAGCGCCCCCCCCCCCCCCAAGACAGCCCCGGCTGGCTTCAGCAGGCTCCCGGAGCAGTCCAGGGCGGTGTCCACACCGTGGCGCCGCCTTCGGCGGGCTACTGTGGGGGCCTATGTTGAGGCCGGCTGGGATTGCTCGGCGGGCCCGTTGAGGCCAGCCAGGACCACCAGGGGGCGGCCGTCTGTTCGCAGCCCGAAGCCTTACCAATTCAGCCCGCAGGCGACGGGGTTAAGCGCAAACGGGGCTCAGCCAGAGCGCCAGATCTTGCAAGGCCAGATTTTGGCCGAGTCTGGCCTCGGGAGCCACTCGCGGCCTTGGAGGTGGCCTCACGGACTGGCTGGGCCCCCCAAAAACTTCAGCCCTGATCTGCTTCACGTTGCTGACAAGAGTCAGGAAGGAGAAAAAACACACAGACACAATGAATCGTCGATTCCCCAGACAATATGGGAGACTATAGGAAGTGGGGGGGAGACAAAAACCCAGAAAGTATGGCAAAATATGGGGAATTCTGCAAGTTGTGTCTATTATTTGTGTGTCCCAGGGCCCCTCCGAAGAGTCTGCGCTGAGCTGGCTCAGTCCACGCCCGAAGGTTGGCGTCCAGGAGGGGTCCAGGTATCGTTCTTGAGCGGAAGCGGTCCGCCGACGCGGCGGCGATCCCAGCGCGAGAGTTTCCAATGTCTGACTCCGCAGGTGGCCCATCGGGAGGCCGAGGTCGCTCAAAGATTTGGCGACCCGCGGGGTGTCCTATCCGCGGACGACGTGTGTGCACCCTACCGCACCGGCCTCTCCCGCGCCGTCGCCGACCTTCGACCCAGGAACGGTACGGCGCGCCGTCTCTCGGCCCTCGGAGCCGAACATCCATGCACCGTGCCATGCACCGGGCCGCGCACGGGGCTCGGGCGAAACCAAGAAGACTCCCCGCTCGCCCGCGCCAGCTTTTCTCTCCCCCTCGTGCGCGTCGCAGCCCTCTCTGCTGCCCCCCCTTCTTCGTCTCCTCTCCCTCGCGGTACTCGCAGCAGCGTGTGGTTGGGTCCTTCGTCAGGCGAATCTTTTTCGTCGCCGACGTACGGGCCATCAGGCCCCCATCGCAAACGGGACGCCGTCCAGGGCATCAAAACCCATCAAACGCCCTAAGACATCATAGACAGGCTGGAGAGTCTCAAATCTGCAAGGGCGCTCGGGCGGCCGCGGGCGCGCGGTAAGCTGCCGGTCCGGATGCGGGAGGAGGAGGAGGAGGAGGAGGAGGAGGAGGAGGAGGATGGGGCGCGCGGGGAGCGGCGGCCGCGGAGGGCAGGGAGGGCGTGGGTCCAGACATGGCACGGTGCGTGAGCGCCGTTCTCTTGGAAGGTCGGGCCTGTCCCTCTACGGGAGGAATATTCAAACGCAGTCCAGAAATAGGGGGACGATGTTTTGAGCATGCTTTACTATGTTTGAGCATTGTTTGACTGTTTAAATGTTTCGTCCGGGATCCGCCTGTAGGGGGACATGCCCGACCTAATTCTCGTGGAAAGTCGGGGGTGGACAGACCCCCCACCCTGACACGTCGACTAGTGGATTGTCCGTGTTCGGTTCTCGAGAGGGCGCCGCGTCCGTCATTTTCCAGGCTGGCGCCCGCCAGGTTTGGGCCCGAGGTCCTTTTCACGAAGCCACGTTCTGCTGAAGGGGGTTCTGCCCATCCCCGAGAAAGGTTGGACGATTCATGAAGTGTCTTAAGACATCGCCGCCGTTCTCACGACGTGAGCCTGCCGCGAGTCCCCCGCGGGGGCGCGCAGACGAGCGCGCTTCGGGCGTCCCCTGGGTGGCCCCGCGCGGGCGCGAAGTTATGCCTCGAACGTCGCGGCTGGGTTGGAGAGCTTCCTTTCCCACAGGTCGCTGCCACCCTCCTTCTCTGGGCCTTCTGGTGCCCTCGATCGGGGGCCCTGGGATGCCTGCTTTCCGAGGGTGCCCAAGACGAGGGTGATGTCTAGAGGGGGGGGTGCTATCATGGCCAGGGCCCTGATATCTTATGGCCTTCGGCCCATCCAGGCACCGTGCCTGGGCTGTCGGTACGAAGCCTATTCGATGTTCGCTGGGATCTCGTAGGAGGCTTCTCGGGGGCATCTTGAAGGCAGTTCGGACGCGTTTGGGGGGCCGTTTGGGAGGCCTCGTGGGGCCTCTTTTGGGCCTCTTGGGGGCCTCTGAGGGCCTCTTGGGGGCCTCTTGGGGGCCTTGGGGGCCTCTTGGGGCTTCCTGGGCGCCTCTTGGGGCCGCCTGGGGGCATCTTGGGGTATATTCGGTTCGTGTTCCTTCTTTGGGGCCCCTTTCGGGGCCGTCTTGGGCCCTCTTAGGCCCTCTTGGGGCGCCTCTTGGGCTGCCTTGGGGCCCTCTTGGGCCGTCTTGGGGCGGTCTTGGAGGCCTCTTGGGCCGTTTTGGGGCGGTCTTGGGGGCCTCTGGGGCCGTCTGGGAGCGTCGGGAAGCCAAAAAAGCGAGAACCCCCAAATCCTACAAAAAACTTAGGAACATCAATGATTTTGGCATCTCGGGGCCCTCTTGGGAGGCCTCTTGGAGGCCTCGTGGGGTGTCTTGGGGGCATCTTGGGCCGTCGTGGGCCCATCTCAGGCGCCTTGGAGCCTCCTGCGTCTTGGAGCGATCGCTCGGCGACTCGAGGCCGTCCTGGGCCATCTCGGGGGCCGTCCTGGGGCTCTCCTGGGCCGTCTTGGGGCCTCCGTGGGGCCTCCGTGGGGCCCGACAGGCCCCTCGAAGGCACGGGGCAGGCCGCGACGGGCCCCACACGGGGGGTCACGCGCCAAGGGCCGAGAGACTTGGCAAGAGTTGGGCTCCGGGGCCCCTCAAGGCTCCTCCTCCTCCTCCTCCTCCTCCTCTTCCTCCTCCTCCTCTTCCTCCTCCTCCTCCTCCTCTTCCTCCTCCTCCTCCTCCTCCTCCTCCTCCTCCTCCTCCTCCTCCTCTCCCTCTTCCTCCTCCTCCTCCTCCTCCCTCCGCCTCCCCCCTCCTCCTCTCCCTCTTCCTCCTCCTCCTCCTCCTCCTCCTCCCCTCCTCCTTCTCCGCCTCCTCCTCTCCTCCTCCACCTCCTCCTCCTCCTCCTCCTCCTCCTCCTCCTCTCCCTCTTCCTCACTCCTCCTCCTCCTCCTCCTCCTCTCCGCCTTTTCCTCCTCTCCTCCTCCCCCTCCTCCCCTCCTCCTCCTCCTCCTCCTCCTCCTCCTCCTCCTTCCTCCTCCTCCTCCGTCCTCCTCCTCCTCCTCCAAGGCCCGAGAGACTTGGCAAGTTGGGTTTCCGGGCCCTTCAAGACACACCTCCTCCTCCCCTCCTCCTCCTCCTCCTCCTCCTCCTCCTCCTCCTCCTCAAGGCCCGACTTCAAGTTGGGTTCCGGGACCCTTCAAGACACCTCCCCTCCTCCTCTCCTCCTCCTCCTCCTCCCTCCTCCTCCCCCTCCTCCTCCTCCTCCTCCTCCTCCTCCGCCTCCTCCTCCTCTGAGGACTGAGGCTCGGGGGATTGGGCCAAGGTCCTGAGGACACGCCCACTCCGTGCCCAGCGGCACGGTGGCGAGCCTTCCCAGAGTTCATGGCCCCCCGTTCTTGTGTCAATGCGTTCCATGGCCCCCACACGTGCCTCGGTTCATGATGTATGCAAGTCCCCCTCTTGGATGCCCCCCTCTTGGACGCCCCCGAGCTCTGGGGATTCCTGATGCTTCTGGAGTCTTCCTTCCCGTCGTGCTAGCACGATCTTTCTTGAGATGAGGGAGTCTCAAGCGGGTCTTCAGGGAAACGGGCCCTGGAACTGGAGTCTTTCCCTGGGGCCAGGTCTTGATCCTGAGCATTTTTGTTGACAGCTCCAGGGGCCCAGGAGCGCGAAAAGGGTGAAAAACGTCATGAGCCGTTTCCTTCAGTACCCGCTTGCCTCATGGTGACTCCCACGATCGGTCTTTGTGGGTTGCCCAGAAGGCCAATTGGGCCGAGATGTGGTTGCAGCTGCGCTGCTTCTCCCGGTGGCGCTTCGTATGCGAGAGGTCCGCCCGGCTCCAAGAGCACAAGGCTCGGGGGAGGACAACTCACAGATCCACCCTCACAGGGGAGGAGGGGGACAGTCAGAGGGGGGGGAGGGAGGAGGAAGAAGGAGGTGGACCTGTACGGTAGGTTCATCTCGTGACGATGCCACGGCGATTCTGGCATGGACGTTCCAGGTTGAACGCCGACAGTGGCCCAGGATCGGCCAAGTGGAACGATCCGGCAATCAAACTGCCGCCGATCGTGCAGGGCTGAACGATCCACTCGGTGTCAGAAACCAGCGCGAAGGGGGGAGGTGGGCCTTCTCAGAAGGCTCGGAAGGCCCCTGGCCTTCTGAAGGCCATCCAGCAGGCTGCAGGACTTCTTGGAAGCCGGGCTTCCGTTGAGAAGGCTTGCCCTCTTGCATTTTCGACGAGACGTAAGAGTGACCTTTCGCCGGAGTTTGGTGCGGGCCAAATCGGGTCCCCTGGTCGCTGAACGCGACGCGGTAGTAGCGGCTTGCGCGCAGGAATTTGGCCACCCCGCGTCCCCCCAGAAGCCGCGCACGAAAGGTCACTCTTACCCAGGGTCACTCTTGCGTGTAGCCGAACTTCCCCCCTCGGCGCGCCGCCAGGTCACAACACAAGCCTGCCGTGTGTCGAAGAATTCAAGCGCATAATTTTTCGTCACGTCCGCGTGGATTTCTTGGATCGGCGCTGGCCCCCCCTGGCGGCGCCTCTGGCGCCGCCCCTGGCGCGCTCCGCGCGGCAGGGACGGGGTCCAGCGCCGATCCAAGTAATCCGCGCGGACCTCAGAGAACCTCTGTTCATGCAGTTCTTTCTTGCTCCACTAGTGCAACTGTGCGGCCCCCGACGGCGGCGACACTCGCCTCCGGGTGCCTGTCGCCGCTGCCCTGCAGCTGCTCCTGCGCGCCCCGCCTCCGCATCTCCCCCTCGGCGCGCCGCCGAGTCGCGAGGCGGAACTGCTCGACCCCCGAAGGCGGCGACGCTCGCCTTCGGGCACCTGTCGCTGCTGCTCTGCAGGTGCTTCTTTGCGCTCCGCCTCTTCGCGGAGCGCCTGCGGCTCTCCGCGGGCCTGGCGGGCGCCCGCGGCCAGCGCCCGCCGCTGTGGCTCGGGGCGCGCTGCTTCCAGGCCGCCCGCCTCCTGGCCCCAGCGGAGGAGGTAAGTCGAGGAGTGGCGAAGCGTCCTGGCTCGCCTCTGGGCCTACCAGAAGAGTGCTCTAAGAACCTTTTGTGGTTTGCCCGAAACGTTTTTCGAACATTTCTGGCTGGGACTGTCTTGTTTTAACGCATGGGGTTTATGTTCTAAGAACACTGGTTTGGCTCTTGGAACATTTCTGGGTTCTGAGAACATGTCGTGGTAGGCCTATAGGAATGCCGGGACGGTCGGTCCCGAACGCGCCGGCGTGCGATGAGTCCAAGTCTGCCAGGCCTACCAGTCCCGGAGACCAGGGCACCGACGAATCGGGACACTGGCAGGTCGGGGAGCCGACACCCTCTCCCGCCTGCAAAGTCAGATCTGGCCGTCCAGTGCCTCCTTTGCTTGCTGCACTGCCCGGTTTGGGTCTCCGTCCTCCGGGTCCAGGGGGGGGGGGGCTCGCAGGTTCCTGGGGCTTCTGCCCCGGACTTTCTTCTGCGAATGAGGCAGTGCGCTTTTTGTTCCCGTGGTGCCGCCTGGAAAAAAAAAAGAAACAGCATCCTGGAAGGGACGATGATGATACTGGTGCTGCTGCTGATGATGATGATGATGATGATGATGATGATGATGCTGATGATGATGATGATGATGATGATGATGATGATGCTGATGCTGATGCTGATGCTGATGCTGATGCTGATGCTGATGCCGCTGACGCCGCTGACGCCGCTGATGCTGATGCTGATGCTGATGCTGCTGATGCCGCTGATGCTGATGATGATGCTGATGATGCTGATGAGGATGAGGATGAGGATGAGGATGAGGATGAGGATGAGGATGAAGATGAAGATGATCAAGATGATCAAGATGAATATGATGATGACTATGACGATGACAATGATGATGATGCTGGTGATGATGGTGATGATGCTGATGATGATGATGATGCTGGTGATGATGATCATGATGCTGCTGCTGATGATGATGATGGTGATGATGATGATGATGATGATGGTGATGATGATGGTGATGATGATGCTGCTGATGATGATGATGCAGATGATGATGGTGATGGTGATGATGATGATGATGATAATGATGATGAGGGTGATGATGATGCTGATGCTGATGCTGATGCTGATGCTGATGCTGATGATGATGATGATGATGATGATGATGATGATGATGATGATGATGATGATGATGATGATGATGATGATGATGATGATGATGATGATGATGATGATGATGATGATGATGATGATGATGATGATGATGATGATGATGATGATGATGATGATGATGATGATGATGATGATGATGATGATGATGATGATGATGATGATGATGATGATGGATGATGATGATGATGATGATTGATGATGATGATGATGATGATGATGATGATGATGATGATGATGATGATGACGGTGAGAGGAGGAGGAGGAGGAGGAGAGGAGGAGGAGGAGGAGGAGGAGGAGGAGGAGGAGGAGGAGGAGGAGGAGGAGGAGGGATGCCCTGAATGTCCTCGTCTGGCGTGTCCCGGCGTGCGGGGCCCTGCCACGCCCGCGGGGAGGCGCGGAGGAGGCGGCCTGGCGCCCCGCGCGCCGCGGCCCCGGGGCAGAGCGCCGCCCCTCCTCGCGCGGACGGCCCCGGCAGCCTGCAGAACGCCGTGAGCTTCTAGAGCCTCTCGTGGGCCTCGTGTTCAGTCGGGCCTGTCCCTCTACGGGGGGAATATTCAAAAATGTTTCAAGAATAGTCTGGTGATTATTGTTTGAGCATTCTTTGACCATTTGTACGGGGGACACGCCCGACTTAACCCTCGTCCCTCCTCTCGCGGCGCCCCTCCCCTCTTCGCCCCGCCCCCCTCCTCCCCTCTCCGGACGTTGACGGACCTCCTGCCCTGACACGTCGGTCAGCGGATTGGCCGTCTTCGGTTCGCGATGGGGGCGTCGCGGCCGTCATGTTTGCGGGTCCAGGTCCGTCGGTTTCGGTCCTGGGCCGTTTTCACGAACAGGGTGGTTTCTTACAGGGAGGTCTGTCCACCGCCGATCTATCCAGGTCTTTGGAGGGCACCTGGAGCTTCCTGGGGGCGCCTCCGGGGCCGCCGGAGACCCATGAAGGGGCAAGCGGTCTCCACGCAGTGATCTTCTTCCTCCCTCCTCCTTGCTTTTTCTCCTCCTCCTCCTCTTTCCTTTTCCTCCTCCTTCCTTTTCCTTCCTTCCTTTTCCTCCTCCTCCTCCGAGCTTCGAAAGCAGCGCCTTTGGCACACTTTAGGGACCCTTTAGGGGCCATTTGTTGCTCTGCAGCTTTTCTGAACATGTTCGGCGCGGGGACTGTGCCAGCGGTTCACGGCGCACCCGACTTTAGGCGCGCGAAGCATCTGGCATCATCGGGCTGACGGAGCAACGTCAGACCTCTCGTGGGCCTGAGTTTCCATACACTCGTGAGTTGATAGAAGTGCGCCCGCCCTGATCATGTAAACACACTCAAGAGGTTTGTGAGCCTTGGGGGAGCACCCCGCTTCCCCAGGGCGGCCTCGCGAGGGCGCTGAGATAGCCTCGCGTCGTCGCGGGGTGCGATGCGCGACGTTGGGTGACCTGCTTGGGTGCCGAAGCAGGCGGGCGAGCGGTGCGGCTCGTGACGTCGTGGTGCGCTACGGCATTGTAGGCGAGGCTGGTGGGTGACTATGCTTGCGCTACTTGCAGAAGAAACCTCTATCTGTGCAGCCTTTTGCCAGAGTCGGACGTGGGCTGTCGTATCAACCAGGATCCAGACCACACCGCTGACTGGCCACGGCGTTTGCCCGGCCTGGGGATTGGGCCCGCAGAGTGGGAGTCACGGCGGGTCCACCGCGGGGAAACGCGGACCCCAATCTAGCAGCCAGTGCGCGCCTAAAGGTATGGGGTTAGCAGGAGGGGTAGGAGGACCATGGTTGGACCCTCTTGTCCGCGCTCGCTACGCTTGCGTAATTAAGCAGAGGACGAGGAGACAGATGATCAGGATGAGGAGGAGGGCGAGGGAGGAGAAGGAGGAACTTTGGTGATCCGAGCGTGCTCCCGATGCGTCGTTGTCCTGGGGCTGTCTTGGGGCTCTGTTGGGGGCCTTCTTGCAGCTCTCTTGAGCACGCTGGGGCCTCTGTGGGGGCTTCTCGGGACCATCTTGACGTCTCTTGGAGGGCTTGGGAACCGTCTGGGTGTGTCTCGGGACCCTCTTGGGGCTCTCTCAGGCTGTCTTGGAGCCCTTTTGGGCGTATGGAGCCTTCTCGGGGGCCCTCTTGAGCTTCTGAGGACGTCTTGGCAGTCTTGCCACCGAAAAGGCAAGCGTGTTACAATTATGTAACTTCTTAGTGAAGATTTATGATTTGCTCATATTTGAGGGCTCTGTGGGCCTGTCGTGAGCGTTCTGGCGTGTCTTGGAGCCGTCTGGGGGCCTCTTGGGTCTTGGGACCCTTGGTGCCCTCTTGCGCAGTATAGAGCCTTTTCGGGAGCCTTCTTGGGGCGTCTTGGAGCTCGCGTACGGTGGCCCTCTTGGGCCTTCCTCGAGCCCTCTTGGCGCCCCTTCTGTGCCTTCTGGGTTGTTTGGGGATGCTCGTGGGAGCATCTTAGGCCGTCTTGGACGCTCTGACACGCGAAACGACCAGCAGACGAATACCATACAACAGCCAACAGGTAAACAGTGATGTTAGCACCTCGGAGACCTATGAAGAGCCTCTTCCGGCTCCCCAGGGGCCGTCTGGGGAGCCTCCGTGGACGTCCTGGAACCATTTTGGGCCCGCCCTTGGTGGGCCCCGGAAACGGCAGGGCCGTTTTTCACCGTTTCCGAAAAAGTGTCCCTTGAAAATGAAAAGGGCAACAAAATCGGCGACCAGAAACGGCAACAAAAACGGCTCCAGGATTGGAACCGGAGCGGGAGCCCGTAAAAGAACGGCGACGGAACCGGTGAAAAAACGGCGTCGGAGCCGGCAAAAAAAAACAGCAAAACGGAACCGGTAAAAAAAAGGGCCTTGTCGTTTCCAGGGCCCACTAAGGGCCCACCTCGGGCCCCTGCTTGCCGCCCTGGGACCATGTCGGGCCGCCTTCTCTGGCCCGTCCTTTGCCCCTCTCCGCTGCCCTGGCGGCGTCTTGCCGGGTCTTTTTGTTGGGAGCCTGTCTCGGCCCCTCCCGCGAGAGGCCCGGGGAACAAGGGCTCCCACGAGGGCGCGAAGTTATTCGCGCTTCGCGCTTTGCGGTCCTCGTTCCTTCTCCCCCTCCTCGTCGTCCTCCTTTTCTCCCTTTGGGGGGGGGCGGCGCGAGAGCGCGAAGTTCTTCGCGCTTCGCGCAGCGCGAAGCGCTGGGAGCCCTTGGGGGGTCACCAGCAAGCCCTGCAAGGGCGCCGCAGGACGAGCAGGCCAGCGCGCCGGCACGAGCGCGTCGGCCCTGCAGGGGTGAAGTCGGGCATGTCCCTCTGCAGGAGGAGTATCCACAAGGAGTCCCAAGAAGAGTCGGGGGACGACTTTTCGGTTCTTGTTTGGCCAGTTGGGAGCATGGACTCTGCTCCAATCTTCCTCCAACATCCGCCTGTGGGAGCACACGCCCGACCTAGCGCAAGGGGGGAAGAGCTCGTCAGGATACTCGAGCCCCCTCCCCTCCCTTCCAGTCGGGAACTTTAGCTTCGCGTGTCGCGCCTCCGGTTCTGGCCCACCACGCCTCAGCGCGACACGCTGTCCACCTCCCGCTGCCTCGGCCTCAGCGTCCCGAGCCCTTCTGAGCCCCCCGCCCCGCGAGTCGGAGCGACGTGCTCGTTTCCGCTTGCAAGGCATAGTCGTCGTCGGGGCCGCCGCTGCGGCGCGCTAGGCAAAAATGTTCCTGGCAGCAGCTCCCCACCATAGTCTCTGTTCGGGGCCAGGAACATGTTCACTACATCATGCTATCTTGGCCCAAACACAGTGTATGTACCCATCGGTCGTTGAACGTAAGTATTTTTGGGTTCCCGGATTCCAATCTATCTTAAGCGCCTTCCTAGTTCAAGGATCGACACCGACAAGTCAAGGACTTCACCGACACGGATTTTTCAAGTCATGGAGATGGCGACCTCGACCCCGACCTTAACGAGCCAAAGCCTGACGGGGATGACGATGAGGCGTCCGATTGCACGATCGCCTCCAACGTCCAGTGCGACATTGAAAACCTTGGCACCGGCAAGGAACCTGACAAGGAGACTGACATCGCGACGCAAACGGACCTCAAGCTCCACCACTCCGTTGAAGCTGACGACAAGTAGACTGGCGTCGCGACACAGACGGACCTCAAGCTCCACCACTTCGTGGAGGCTGACGGCACCAAGATGGATAGGGACGATGTGGCGGCGTACGAGCTTGACTACTTCGGGGAGGCGGACCCTTACAGTTGCGTGGCCAGCAGCTCGGAGCAGAGCGCAGTGGACTTGGATGTCTTCCCCACCGCCACGGGCCTGGGCGGTTCGGAGCAGAGTGCCACGGACGTGGCCATCCTCACGACCCTCACGGACCAGCACAATTCGGTGCAGCTCGACGAGCAAGTGGTCCCGCCCGTCGTGCTGCCCGGCGAGCCGACCGAGCCAGGGGTGCAGCCCGACGGGCACGGCCGGGGCTTCGACAGCCAGGGTTCCGAGACCGGGGACGCCGACGAGGACGTGAAGTCAGGAGGCCTCGAGCTGCAGTGGGAGTACATGGACGCGCGCGGCGCGACCCAGGGTCTGTTCTCCCAGGAGCAGATGAGAGAGTTGTTCGAGGCGCGCGCGTTCCCCGAGGACCTGCCGATGAGGACGAATCCCGACACGCCGTTCATGACGTCCGGGCTGCTCTTTCCTTCATCGCTGGTGCCCTTCCGACACTGTCCAGGGCCTTTGACTACTACTACGGCCACGCTCACGTGGGCTTGATCCAAGATCTGCGAGACGGCGGATGAAAAGTTGGAGCGGGTTGCCTAACATATGATCTCGCTGGCCTGGGACCGCTCCATCTCTTTGGAATGCGTGGCGGCCGAGCTGACCAAGGGCAGCGAGAAGATGGTGGAGCTGGCGCGGGCCATGGGGGTTCCAGACTTCGCGAAGGCCGCGGTCCTCCTGAAAGGTCTGGCGAAGGAGGCGGCGTGCGTCTCGCTGTGGGGGCGGTGGTGGATCGAGCCGCGTGGCTTAGTGAGGCAGCCTGTCCTCCCCTTCTCCCTCCTCTGCCTCCCCATCCGCTCCCTCTTCTCCCCTCCCCTCGCCGTCTTGTGGCCTCGGCGTAAGCCAGCGTTGTCCAGGCCTGCGGGGGGGCTCCTTTGGGAGGTGGCGGCTCGCCGCCCACAGTGACCGGCCGCGGGGGCTCTGCAGCTGCAGCGCCACCATGGCGCCCCGATCCCTCGCGCCAGCCTTGCGTGGCTGCGGTCCGCCTGCTGCGCTTGCGGTATAGGCCCGCGCGCGGCACCCTCCATCTCCCAGCTTGTTTCCATGATCGCTGATATGCACATTTATGCGCCGCTCTACATTCGAGTAGCCTCTCCCTGGTATCGTAGGTTTCGTGGTTTCGTGGTTTCGTGGTTATTCACGGCTTCCTCAGGGCCTTTAGGCTGTTGTTTTACGCTTTCCCGTTTGGTTCGCCGCACTCTGTTTCGGTTCCCTGCGTCATCATTCCTCCCCCTCCACTTCCGCCTCTCTTCCCCCCTTTTCCTCCCCCCGCTCCTTCGGATTACCTTGTGTATTTCGGTTTCCCGCGACATCCCCTTCCCACGCACAGCATTTTGCCCGACGCGGGGGGCTCTGCCGAGCGGGGTCGATGCACGCGTTGTGGCGTGCGCTCGTGTGGCGATTTTAATGCACATCCTATTCCGAGTCTTTCCTTCACGTTGTCGTTGACATTTATCGTGGCGGCAGCCGCGTTGTGTGAAGTTCGTGTGGCCGCGCTGTCCTCCTCCTCCTCCTCCTCCTCCTCCAAAAAAATATTTCAAGGATCGAGTAACTTCACCTCTTCCCTCCTCCCAAAAGGGGGCTGGCGGACACCCAATCTACGTTCAACGCCTTCCCACTTTATGTTTCTACCTATTCTTCCGACCGATGAGAATGTTGACCTAAATTACAGAGGCAAACTCCGAGTGGGGGATGGAGTGCCTCGCTGCGGCGGGGCTTTCGGGGGGTTGTTGCTTGGGCCCTCCCGGGACCCTCGCTCGGTCCCTTCAGGATTAAGTCGGGCCCGTCCTTCTACAGGAGGAAGATCCCAAATTAGTCAAAAAATAGTCGGGGGAAAACTGTTTGAATATTCTTTGTCCATTTTGGATTTTGTTTTGATTTTTTTGTTTTTCGTCGAAAATCCCCCTGAATGGGGGACAAGCCCGACTTAATGCTTGGGCCCTCCCGGGGCCCTCGCTTGGTCCCTTCAGGGGCGGGGGCCCCTCGCGCGGCGCGGCACCCTGCGGCCCTGCTGCCGGAGCAGGGAGGGCATGGCCTCCCCGGCGCCAGGGAGCAGTTCTGCGGGCCCAGCCGGGGCTCTCTTGGGCTGTTCTGGGGGGCCTCTGGGGCCCCCGCTGAAGCTCTCCCAGGCCTTCTCTTAAGTCGGGCCTGTCCCTTTACAGGAGGGGATTTTCAAAAATAGTCTAAACAAATAGTCTGGGGACGTTTTTTTTTCCGATCTGTCCGAGGATGTTTTGAATGTGTGGGGTCTTTTTTTGTTTTTAATGTTTGTCCTCCGAGATCCCCCTGTAAGGGGACAGGCCCGACTTAAGCCTTCTCTCGGGGCCCTCTCAGGCCGTCCAGAAGACATACATCTAAGAAGCGGTAACAATCAGAGTGAGGGGGCCGAGCGGTCTTAGACTGCCCCTATGCACGTGGCTGAAGTTGGGGTCCGGCGGTGCGGGTTCATGTTCGCCTGTTTCTTCTCAAGTGTTATTGTTTGTATTGTTATCATGTTTCTCCTCATTCGAATTCTTGCTCATGTTACGACTATTAGTCGTATTCGTTTTGTTCTTAGTAGTGGTATTGTTTTCCATTGTTAGTCTCCTTGTTTGATGATTACCACTGTTAGTATTCCTCTTATTCCCTACCTAGGCTCTGCCTAGCAGTGTTCTTACTCTGAGGCTTCAAGGGCCGGGCAATGGGGCCCGCCCCGGGCGGTTCCCCCGGCATCCGCCCCGCGGTTCCCCCAGTGACGTTCCCTCAGCTTCGCGTTACTTATCTCATCTTAGCTTAGCTTATTTCGTATTAATTTAGCATAGCTTCATCTTACCTCAGTTTTATCTTCGCTTAGCTTACCTTCAGCTTAGCTTCGCTGAGCTTTAGCATAGCAGAGCACAGCATAGCATAGCGTAGCAAAGCATAGCGCAGCATCGCATATCATAGCATGGGTGTAATTCCCTACCTAGGCTCTACTTAGAGGGTTAGCTTAGCTTAGCTTAGTTCCCTACCTAGGCTCTGCCTAGAAGGGTTCTTACTCTGAGGCTTCAAGGGCCGGGCAGTGGGGCACGCCCCGGGCGGTTCCCCTGGCATCCGCCCCGCGGTTCCCCCAGTGACGTTCCCTTAGTTTAGCGTTGCTTATATCATCTTAGCTTAGCTTATTTCATATTACCTTAGCTTAGCTTCATCTTACTTCAGTTTTATCTTAGCTTAGCTTACCTTCATCTTAGCTTCGCTGAGCTTTAGCATAGCAGAGCACAGCATAGCATAGCATAGCGTAGCAAAGCATAGCGCAGCATCGCATATCATAGCATAGCCCAGCATAGCATAGCATAGTGCAGCATAGCATAGCATAGCATAGCATAGTGCAGCACAGCAGAGCACAGCATAGCACAGCGCAGCATAGCACAGCATAGCATAGCATAGCATAGCATAGCAGAGAATAGCAGATCATAGCATAGCATAGCAGTGCATAGCATAGCATAGCATAGCATAGCGCAGCACAGCATCATTGCAGTTGCTTTCCTAGAGGCTCCAACTCCTAGGTAGGGTCGCACTGGGATAATTTTTATTATTCGTATTTTTGTTGTCGGCCCCGCACTGCGACCCCCCGCGAACTGCCCCGTGACCCACCCGCGGCCCACCCGCGACCCGCCTCGCGAGCCACCCGAAACCCAACCACGACCCACCCGCGACTCGCCGCACGGTTCGCCCGCCGGCCCGCTGGCCGACTTGCCGAAGATCCATCCACGACCCGCCCGCATCGCCTTGACAAACACTGGCGCATGCGGCGGGTTCGTTGCGTAATGTGTGTTAACGAGTGCGCCGGGCTTCTTCACATCTGAGGCGTTCCAGAATTGGCCTTGCCTGCGAGGGCCGAAGGAGTTGTCGTCTCTGCCGCCGGGGAGGGCGGCGGAAGGTCGGCAGAAGGCGGCGGAAGTAAAACGCGGCCGCCTCCGCCGGCGGAAGCCAGCGGCGGAAGGCGGCGGCAGTAACAAATGCGCTCCCAAGATAGGAACACGTTTTTGGGCCCAGGGTTTTCGGAATCGGACGTTTGTTTTCGAGCTTCGCGAGCGTCCGACGACACCAGCGCACGTTCATTCTGATCCCCATTTGCGGGGACGGTGATTTTTCTACGATTTGGGCCTCTCGGGGGCATACGTCCCTGGGAGGCCCCATGGCCTCCTCGAGCGGTCAGGGGATCACCTTGGGCCTCTTGGAGCCATGCTGGAGGCCATCGTGGGCCACCTAGGGAAATAGTGCGAGTTCTTGGGGCAATCTCCTGGAGCTACCTCAAGCCGCCTTGGTCGCTCGAACGCCTCGCGGCGCCGACGGTCCAGACCCGTTGGGCCGGGGGCAGATGGGATGACCCCCCTCGTCGAAGATGAAGAGGGCGATGTCCTGGAAGAGCTTGCAACCTGAACCACCCACTCCCCGGATTGCAAGCGGGACCCAGCCTGGAAAAGGATGGAGACGAGTTTCTTTTGCGCAACGGACTGCGCCCTGGTGCCTGCTGATGCCAGCCGTGTTGGGCTGCTCACGATGCGATTTTGTTTCCCCAGAGCCGATCTCGATCTCGATCCGATCCGGGTCGAACCGAGACCCTCTCCTGCCTCCAGGGCCGAGCCCGACCCGCGATCCCAGGCGCTCCGGCTGCGATGCGATTCCGCGGCGACCCGGGCGCGATGCGGTCCGCTCCGCCGCTTCCGATCCGCCCCGACGCTGCGCGGCTCGATCCAGTCCAGGCCTGGCGCTCTCGCCGTGGCCCCTGCAGGCGTGGCTGGGCCTCACGGACCCCGAGCGCTGCTTCGGGAGTCTGGCCGGCCCGCTGCGCGCGGGCGGAGCCGCCGCAGGCGAGGCCCGCGGCGCGGAGGCGCTCCACCACGCTGCCCAGCGGGTGGCCACGCAGGCGGGCCGCGGGGTGCGGGCCGAATCCCGACCCGCTCGGCAGCTCGGGCCTCGCAAGGACAGGGGTCCAAGTCGTCCCAGAGCGTTCTTTGGCGCTCGAACGGCGTTCTGTGGAGCGCTCCGGAAGACCCGCGGTGCCCGATACGTTTTCGAGAGCCACCGGATCTGAGAGATCCCCGGTGTTCCCAGGTCTTGGCCTCCTCTTATCATCGTTTCTTCGGTGTCCACGGGCGTGGAGCATGCATTGGCAGCGAGGCGCACTGCAGTCGTAGGAATCTCTGAGCTTTCCTGTCGGAGATCGGGTCCCTGGGTCCTGGGGCAACTCTGCGAAGATGTAGCAGCCTTTCACATTCTGAGCGCTGAGAGCATGCCCCTTTGCTATGTGCAGAGCTTTGCAAGAGCACACTTGGCGACAGCGTCATTCTCTCCCTCCAGTCCTCCGCCCCCTTTTCCCCGTGTTGCGAATCGCCCAGTTGGTGCGATACCGCATGTTGTCGGGGTGGTGTTTCTACAGGCCGCTCCTGCCAGCAGGTGAGTCTTGATCTTCGGGCTCCCTCTGTTGTGGGTACTCCTCGTCATGTTCGTCCTCCTTCTCTTGCTCGTCCTCCTCCTCCGCCTCCTCCTGTTCCGCTTTCTGCTCCTCTTCGGTTTCTTTGGGGCAACACCTCCGCCACTCCAGCCCCGGCCCTTTTGGGGCCCCCTCCTCGCCCGCGGGTCGCGGGGAGAAAAAGGCTTGGGGGCGCCTGTGTCTCTGGTTGCGGGCGCACGGTGTGGGGGCTCGCCCTGCCCTTTCTCCTCTCCTCTCCCCCCCCGCCTCTCGTGCACGTTGTGCTTGCCAAAACGTTCCAATACGTTCCTCCGCTTCTCCTCCTCCTCCTCCTCCTCCTCCTCCTCCTCCTCCTCCTCCTCCTCCTCCTCCTCCTCCTCCTCCTCCTCCTCCTCCCGTTCGCCTTCCGATTCTCCCCGCCTTCTCCTCCGCCCTCTCCCTGAAGGGCACCGCGGTGGCCGCCGCCCTGGCGGCCGCGGCCGTTCCGGGGCCGCAGCGCGGCGAGACGCCGCCCCGTGCAGTCGGGCGCCTCCCGCGCCCGGGCGCAGCCGAGCGGCGCAGGCGCCGCGGCTGACGACGACGACGACGACGGCGGCGACGACGTCGTTGTCGCCGTCGTCGTCGTTGTCGTCGGCGGCGGCGCCGCCCGCGAAGGGGCAGCTCTCGGCATGCTCGGACCTGCCTCGGTCGGGGCAGGGCCTGCCGACCCCTTCGGAGGGCGGCGGCGAGGGCAGCGCGTGCCGCGACGCCGTCGTCGTCGTCGCCGTCGTCGTCGTCGCCGCCGCCGCCGCCGCCGACGACGACGACGACGATGGTGACGACGATGATAACGATGGCGACGACGTTGACGGCGACGGCGACGGCAACGACGACGGCCCAACTCTCCGACGGTCTGATTTGATTTAACCCGGATTTCCTCGACTCTAGCGCGTAGGGCTCTGTATCGGGCCCCGGGACAACCACAACTGGATCTGGAGCGACAGGCTTGCGTTTTTTTATCGATCGGCGGAAGTGCGCTTATCCTCCCCCCCCCCCCCGGTAGAGTGTTTCGGGGCCGATTTGGGCAAGCACAAATGGACGGAGCAAGGGGGCCGCGCCCCACTCCCCGTGGAGACTCGAAGCGCTGATGCGCGCACCTGTGCGTATCTGTGTCGGATTTTCATGTTCGTTGCTCGTATTCCGGGGCCTGGCTGTTTCTCTGAGCGTTTCATTTCTGCAACTTGAGCTCGAGTCGTGTTTTTCAAGGAAGCCTGCGTTGCGACAAGTTTGACGAAGGGTCGCGAGACGTTCAGAATTCTCGATTCTTGGCCGCGAGCATGGAGCATGACTTGCGTGTTTGTTGTCAGTGCGCTGTTTCCCGGCTTCTGCGTTGCATTACGCTATTTGACCTAATATGATTGAGGAAGCAAGGGTCTTGAGCCTGAATCCCCTTCTCCCACCCCACTCCAGCTGAATGCCACAGGTCGGAATCTGGATACAGTTGCAAAACTACCCCTGGGGAAGCGGCCGGGGTATCTTGGGCCGCGGACTGACAAAGCCACAACGGCGGATGCCAGGGGACGTCGAGGACTGCGAGGACGACAAGGACGACGACGAGGAAGATGACGATGATGACGACGACCACCCAGAGGCCAGGAAGTTCCGCGGGCCTCGGTCGCCAGGAGGCGAGGTTCCGCCTTGACTCTCGTCGTGAAAACCACGACGGCCAGTTCTTGACCGTTTTCGGCCTCTGGGGGCTCTCACTAGGCTTAGGTCCGGCATGTCCCTCTACAGGAAGAAAATTCAAACATAGTTTGAATAATAGTCAGGGGGACGATGTTTCTAAATTATGTTTTGACTATTTTTGAATATGTTTTGGCTATTGTGAAGGCATGGCGGCCGGTGCCGCCGACCCTAAGAGACATCGACGACGACCATGAGGGGAAGAAGGAGGAGGAGGAGGAGGAGCAGGAGGAGGCAGTGATAAGGAGGAGGAGGAGGAGGAGGAGGAGGATGAGGAGGCCCCCTCGTTCCTGGAGGAGGACCGGCGTGGGAGAGGGGAGGGGAGGGGGAGGAGGACCCCCAGGGACGGATGCGCATCTGTCCCCCCCCCCTCTCTCCCCTGGGACTCCCCCTACCCCTGGGGAGGGGGACCAGAGGAGGACCGGAGGAGGACCGGCGTGGGAGAGGAGGACCCCCAGAAGCGATCAGAAGCGATGCGAATCTGACCCCCCACTCCCCCCCCCCGGGACCCCCCCACCACCGCCGGGGAAGGGACAAAGGGAATGGGCTTCCCCTTGACGTGATTACGACGTGGGTCAATTTCTCTCAATGCCTGGACTCCTCCCCCCGACGACTTGAGAGTGCTCTCTCCCGCCCGACGGGGAAGGAACGTCCCGTCGACGGGAATAGACAGACCCCCCACACACACACGCCGACAGGGTCGGCAGATTTTTCGCTTTTCCTCGTACTTCCACAACGACAAACACCCCTACGAGCAAAAACGGCGCTTCCCGTTCTTGTCTGGTCAGGTTTTTGGTTTTTCTTGAAGAATACCTGTAGGAGGGCATGCCCGACCTGACACTAGGCCCTGGGATCGTCGCAAAACGATTCAGGATGAAGAGCGGGTTCAATGGACGGGGTCTGGAACTTCAGGTGCCCTCGCTGTGGGGAAAAGGCACGACGTCGGAGTTCTGGGCCTGACGTCCCGCTGGAGCTCCTAGAGGAGGAGGAGGGACAGGAGGAGGAGGAGGAGGAGGTGGAGGTGGAGGAGGAGGAGGAGGAGGAGGAGGAGGAGGAGGAGGAGAAGGAGGAGAGGAGGAGGAGGAGGAGGAGGAGGGAGAGGGAGGAGGAGGAGGAGGAGGAGGTGGAGGAGGAGGAGGAGGAGGAGGAGGAGAGACGGAGGAGGAGGAGGAGGAGGAGGAGGAGGAGGAGGAGGAGGAGGAGGAGGAGGAGGAGGAGGAGGAGCCTCGAAGTCTTGAGCAGAGCCCGGGGCGCGCGCCTCGGGGTGCCCGTCGTCGGAGGCCGCGCCTCGCGGAGGGCGTTCCCCGGGGTGCCCGCCTCGTCCCGCGCGGCCGCCCCAGGCCCGAGGCCAAGCGCGACCCGTCCCCCAGGCCGACGGGGGGTGGCGCGGCCTCGGGCCGGCAGGGGCAGGGCAGTCGTCGTCGCCGTCGCCGTCGTCCTCGTCCTCGTCCTCGTCCTCGTCCTCCTCCTCCTCCTCGTCCTCGTCGTCGTCGTCATTTTTTTGTTGCCTCGTGCTGGCCTCGGATCATGGGTTCGGGGCTCAAGGGACGGGGGTCAATGCAAACGAGGGTCAGCCAGAGCGCAGGATCTTGTAGGATCCTGCAGGGCCAGGGGTGCACTGACCCAGGTTTGGATGCAGTATCCTGCAGGATCCTGCAGGATCCTGTAGAGCCCGACTGACCTGGGTTCGGATGGACCCGGGTCGGTCAGTAGATCCCCTATGGGTCCGAATCGTTGGTGCACCGGCGCTGCGGCACGGCTAGGAGCCTGACGTTCTTCGTCCCAATGTCGCGGGTGCACCGCCGATGCAGCGCCGATGATCGGCGGCGCAGTGCGATCCTTCGACCCCAACTGCTCCGACCTCATCTGCTCCGGCTCCCATGCCGTGGTAACTATGCCAATCCGCTCTCCGTCTCCAGTCTTAAGTCGGGCGTGTCCCTCTACAGGAGGAACGTTCAAAAATAGTCCAACATAGTGTGGGGACGAGTCTGTTTTTATTGCTCTCAACAAACAACTACTTTTGAATTTGTTTTGACTATAATAATTTTTGGTTTCGTCCAGAATACCCCTGTAGGAGGACCATTCCGACCTAACTCCAGTCTTCTGCACGACGACCGCGTGTGGCCGACCCTCTCCACGCAGCAGCCTGCGCGCAGCAGCGTGCGTCCGGCCGAACTCGGCCACCGAGTCCGGAAGCGGTGGCGCAATCGAGGAGGGCTGGGGCGACCCCATACGGCGGGGGCGTTCGTTAAGGAGTGCGCCCAGGAAGCTTCAGACCCTGGTGATATCAGCGGTGATATCCATGGCCAAGCCCCAACTGATGTTCCACAAGCTTCCAGAGCCTGGATTCCCTGTCTCAAGGGCTCCTCATCGAATGCCGCCACCGCGTTGGGGCGGAGGGCTCTGCTGCGGGCGCCGGCCTCGGCTGCCCTCTGGTCGGGCGAGGGCCTGCTCAGTCGCTCCCAATGGCGCCCCCTGGCTTCTGGCGCCGAGCTCGGCCCTCCAGTCATGCAGTGGCCACACCACATGAGAAGCTAGCGTGCCAACTGGTGCCCCACGATGATGTCTTATCCCCCTGTAAGTCCGCAGAGCACTGGGACACAGTGCGAAGCTCAGAGCCGACGAAGGATGTGCCTCCAGATATCTTAGGAGAGTAAGTTTTCTTATCGTGTGTGCTCACTGTGTACAGACCCGCAGCTGACAGTCAGAGGAGGAGGGGGAGGGGGGGAGGGGGGCCATGGACCAGGGTGAAGGGGACGCAGTGTCCCGCGGGGGTCCCTGCGAGTTCCGAGGGGGACCCTCCGTGGAGACCCACCCACCTGGGAGAGAGCCCTACCCCAGCCTCTGGAGGCCCCCCTTTGGAGTCACTCTCAGGGTGGATATCTACCCCAGCCTGGATGACACTAAGAGCGTGCTTGACCGCTTTGGGCGGCCCGCTGTGGCTGGGGCAGCGGCCCTTCTTGATTCTCGAATGGTATTGATTACCTTTGCGGGTGGGCTGGCCGCAGCACGGCTTGGCCAACCTCACTAAGCAGCTAGACGTGGGCATGCTACCACACAGACACAGACACAGACACAGACACAGACACAGACACAGACACAGACACAGACACAGACACAGACACAGACACAGACACAGACACAGACACAGACACAGAGACACAGACACAGACACAGACACAGACACAGACAGACACAGACACAGACACACACACACACACACACACACACACACACACACACACACACACACACACACACACACACACACAC